CCTACAAAGTGTTTAACAATATGTTTCATTTCTAATACTTTATATTGTAAGCACTTACAAACCCAAATTAAATACACATATATTAGTTTGAAGGGATGTTTTATTGTCTGTAGTTATAAACGCAATTCTAAGAACTTGTGATGAGTGAATGTTACACATCAATTCGTCATTGGCTTGCAAAGCGTGAAAATATCCTAACACTTAATTTTGTAGTTGCAGATCTAAGACTACAGCGTATAAATGTAAGGTGCTTATTAAACGTACGCACAGTTGCAATTAATTTGTTACCTTAATGTTTTAACAAGACCTGACGAAAAAATCAGTAACCAATTCTACCGTCTCTAGATTCTGGAAGTCCCGTTGATTTTCCTTACGGAGCTCAACCAGGTTTCTACACCTTTATTCCCGGTCAACATCCGCCAGAATCCATGGACTTCCCGCCAGGACCCATGAGGAATGCTGCAGCATCTAGCCCGCCTCCTTCCTCAAGGGTTATGGGTCATGGATTACCTCCAGGTGGGCTGATGGTTCAAGGTACATTCTGTAGTAAGAACTTTTCTTTATATCTTGGGTGTGGTGGGATTGTTTTTTTTAAGTGTTACTAAGTTTTTACAGTTTCCGCATATATTTTTCACATTTTATGTAATTTTCCCATTGCCCTCAAGAATCCAGATTAAAGACATCTTAATACATATATAACTTTCAGAGTTAGACGACTTTCTTGTGCAATAGAAATATACAAGTGTGAAAAAAAAAAGACTGAAATGTAAGGATATGTTAATTTTATTTTGTTTAATACATGCACGTAATCAATAACTAAGCTAGTACACAATATACATCTTGAGTACACCCTAAAAACATCTGAATAATTGACGCCCTTGTTTTTCATTTTTATTGTTTATTGTTTCAAACTTTATTAGACAAACAAGCAAATTACATAAAAATCTGAAGTTGATAATTATTATTTTGAAATAATTAGATCAATAGCCAGAAGAAATTTGTTCCCTTTTATTGAGATCCAAGCTACAAACAAGAGGGAATCTTCAATAGCCGCGGCACTCGATATTCTTTTAGGTAGGATCAGAGTAAATTAATTTATGGAACGTTTTTTCCCCCCTTTTTATCAGCTATATTTTTGTTCGCCAGAAATACCAAGCGTGGGGCGCGCGTATACCCGATTAGATTTTATTACTCATCAGGATCTCTACTAGCCTGCCCTCAAATTGAAATCCTTTTAGGCAGGATTAGAGTAAATTAATCTATGAGACCTTGGCCGTGGACAAATACATCAATCGAAAGGGTTTTGAACTCCTGAGTCCAGAACTGTAATTAGATCTCAAATCGGTCAAGAGATGTCGAAGCTATGGACTAAAAGTTTGTACTTAAAAAAACATTCTATGAGCCGATGTGCCGCGGCTAAAAATTAACAGACTACCATGTTAATGTTATATTCATAACGAAACATTTTGTTAGAAATCCACTTCCTTGTAAATACATCTACAAGATTGTGATGTGTGTGTGCATGACAATTTTACAAAAATTTAGGAAATAGAAAGACGTTGTCCTTTTTTTTTTTTGAATTAGAGAAAGCACTCTGATTGAATGGTGCAACCCAATAACATTTTTTAATCGATATATAATTGTAATTACTGACTATAGATTACGCGTTATTAGACTTTCTACGTTAAAAAATACTAATAGTCAATCAGAATATTTTTATTTAAAAACACAGAAGTGACTTAAAAGAAAACAAACATGTTTTATTTAGAAAAATAGCTTATTGTTAAATAATACAATATTTTCGTCACAACGTCACATAAACAATCAATTAACTGTATTCCTACTGTTGTAAGTACGTCGAATCGGACGTTGTTTGTTGTATTCCGTCTTTCTTAACTTTTTATTTTCCTTCGCTTCTTTAGGCCAACTTAATCTTGGTGCGGACGCCCCCTATCTTCAGCACCATAATGACCTCTTGTCTCAACGCTCCAGCCCTGACTCTGTAATGACCCTTCCACCTGCTACGGATGTTTACGGTCCACTCAGATCGTCAACGGCCGAGACTTTTCATCCGGGTCTCCCTCATCAGTCACTAAATGGGTACCAACTGACATTTATGTGGAGAAGGATGGGTACCAACTGACATTTATGTGGAGAAGGATGGGTACCAACTGACATTTATGTAGCTTTTTAAAAACAACAATAACAACAACAACGGAAAAAAACACAAAAAAAAACAGTGTGTTTATTTCTGTTAAGTCATTCAAACCAAGCAGTAGCTGCTTGACGGAAATGACGTCACCAAACAGGAGTCTCGCCCTTCTCCACATAAATGCATTCGATGAATTAATATTATATTAATGCACATAGCGGTTATTAAAGAGTAACCAAGGAAACCACCGAGAGATATGTAGAAATTCATTCGGTGATTGTGACGTATCATCAATACTCATTAAATATGTGCAATGTTTATTAATTTTTGATTTACTAGCTACTTCATTACGTACTAGTTCACACTGGACTTGGAGTAAAAATCCCCTTGGAACTGATAAGCAGTACTGAGGTTTCCTACAATAAATGTGTGTATGTGAGCAACGTTACGACGTTCACACTGGACTTGGAGTAAAAATCCTCTTGGAACTGATAAGCAGTACTGAGGTTTCCTATAATAAATGTGTGTATGTGAGCAACGTTACGACGTAGTAAACGTCATCACTTAAAACGGTTATCATTGGAGTGAGCTATTGAAAAGGTTTATTTGTTTTTGTAAATAGTGTTTTTCATAGTAATAAATGTAAATATCTGTAATTATCGAAACTGTTCGTTGCTTTCGGGTTTCTCTCTTTAAGATGTAAATCTTCAGTTTTAGACCTTCGTCACAGCGTCATCAGGGTCCTAGAAAGGTGAACTAATAGGACGATGCCACCGTTATTAGATAGCACTGTTCAACTGTTGGAGATGTGGTTACGTTTTTAGTCGTCTCTCTCTACTAACAACTTCTATGACAGTGAAAAAGACACACACACGTGTTTTCGTGATGCCCTTGTTGTCAGTGGACTTCACACTTTGATTATTGTTATTATTCTCATAATAAGTATATATGGCACATTGCCAGGATTATGGCAGGATATTAAATCAACACAAGGATGAGATGTGATAAGGGAGCTTTTCTAGGACTCAAATGGACAGGTGTATCTAATATCGCAAAAGAAATATAAAATGGTTACGTTTTTCGTGTATGGACCCTTCCTCCCAGCATTTTGTATTTTAATATAATAAGACAGGCTGTGCAAAAACATTTTTCTCTCTATACAGAGATTGTTATTCAAGTTATAATAATTGTTACACTGGCTAGATAATGGCAAGAAGGTGTCTGAACATTAATCATACTATGAACCTGTTATAAGTGGTCACAGTTTGAAGTCAGATCAAAGCAGTTGAGCCTTTAGAAATTTGCATTACGGTCAACGTCACGAATATGCTATTATTTTTTTTGCTAAGCACTGGCGCACATAAAGTATATTTTGGTTTTATCCAAAGCTTCTTTTCTTCAGTCGAAAATATAAATTTTTCGTAATTTGAGATTTACTCCAACAGATTGATTCAACCGATGTCTCGACTAACTAAAGCCATCTTTTTCATTTAAAAAAAATTACAACTAAGGTTATACAAGAAAAGATAAACTTGAACCTACCGGTACACTGTACACAGCGTGGACACAAGTAAATAGATACCACCTTTTCAG